TTATAAGATTCTTAGATGCTAGATGATGATGATAAATGACCACGAGTTAAGAGATTTTGCTTTTTTATTTATCTTAATTGTTCTGACTTGATTTGACTCAGAATATTGTCTCTAGGAATTACCATTCTTTGTCCATTGAAGCTCTGCTTTCTGAGAAAGTTGAACACCTATTATCTGACCCTTCAAAGGGCAGTGTTTGTGAATAAGGCACACCACTAAAGTATTCGATTTCCAATTGCCTTTTGGTGATGATGGAAGAAGTGGTAGTTTCCTGGCTCTGTTTGAAAAATAACAGGTCGGGGGCAGGGGGAAACTTAGGAAATCTGCTACTCTTCTGTGTTTTGCTTAATATTTAACACAGCGTGTACAGAGAGAGAAATTTCTCTATAAAACCAGAATCTACAGAAAGGAGGAGTATACCTTTGATGATTACCTTTGACAATTTTATGATTTTCTTATTTCCTACCTTAGAGCCTCACATAATTCCATCCTCTTGGCTTAGGTCAAAGGTTGCCTTAGCCTTATATTAAAAATTTTTTTTTGTATTCTTGTAATTCACGAATGGTTTCTGAAATGGTCCTTCTTTAAAGTGAATCGAGCCTCACATAATTCCATCCTCTTGGCTTAGGTCAAAGGTTGCCTTAGCCTTATATTAAAATTTTTTTTTTGTATTCTTGTAATTCACGAATGGTTTCTGAAATGGTCCTTCTTTAAAGTGAATTCTGCTGAAGGAGATCCAATTCTTAAAGTCACCAGTGCACTTCCTTGAAATACAAATTTGACAAGCATTTCTACAAGTGTTAGCTATATTCATTATTCCAAATATCTCCTAGTCTCCATTTCATCTGCCATAAAGATAATAGTAAAGCTAAACTAGAGTAGAGAGGCTAATCAGGATGGTTCATACGTCAGTGCTCAGTGTTCATTTTGAAATTTTTAAGTGAGGAGAGAAAATAAAAAATCTTTGGGCTTTTATGATTTACTTTATGCAAGAAACCAATGATCTTAGGCACTCATTATAAATCTTCAGAACCTTGTCATAAATACTTCTTATTATGACACAAACAAACTAGTTTAAAGGATATGTTTTAGATAAACATTTAGCAGAAAAATGCACAAATAGCCATCTCAATATGCAGCATTTTTCTCAATTGAAATGTAGTTAAAAGATTAACTGGAAGCAGAAACAATTCTAGGATGCCACAAAGCCACAGATTTTTAATATGTTTGAAGAGAGAAATTGTTATATATCTGGTAAAGTCATGTACACCCTTAACCTCCACCACCAAAAGGAACAATTGCAAATCATGAGACTCGATGTGTTTTTTTCCAGTCAATAATTAAGGTATTCCAAATGTTCCATCCTTTAAAAAAATATTCTGTCCCATTTCTTTGTACAAAATAAAGCAAGTGAACTCACCAGAAAGACTGCTTGAATGTTAAAGGTGTTTTTCTAGTTGTGTGTGTGAAATACAATTTTTGTCTTGTATAGTTGTTGCTGGAAACTGTTTGCTGTCTAAAGGGCGAATAAATGTTACCTTTCTTCGAGAAAACAATTGGCTGCCCTCTTCTGTACGTGAGTGAAAATATAATGAAAATGCTTTATTTCATTTACAGACAATGCTAATGAGGAAGAGTTGGAAAAGATCAAGTAAGGTAATTCTTAGCATGTGATCTTTCAGCTTTCCTTATTGAGAAGAACTATCAGCTGCTTTCCCAAATCTCTCTCATTCCTCTTCAGACTATACCACGAGATTTCATCCTATTCAATTGTTATTTTTTCCCCATACACTTTAAGCAAACCATGTGGTGCTTTTTAAATAAATAGAAATCTTGCTGATCAATAGCATCCAAACCATCCTCTCACTAATCTCTGGTCACTTTTCAACATCATTCTCAGCATCTGGTTTCTATTAAATGTACAACAGGGTCTAGAAAATCACTTTGCTCCAGGAATAAAATGATGAAGCTAGGGCAGGGACAAATTCAGACAGAAGAAAGATCCACACAACTTATTTCTTTTCATTCACGGGAAATTGAGTATGAGGTCTTCTAAACTCAAAAATCCTTATATCGCTACACCTTCGAGGTATACAATGAGAGCAATTTTTCCTCATTGCCTCTTCTCACTTCAATAAATAAATGGATCTTGGGAGTGAGAGCTTATGGTTGCTATAACCCTGGCTCTTCTTATAACTTGTAAAATATGTAATATGTAAACTAAGCTTTTAATTTGTTCAGTGGTGGCACCACTCTTGTACACAAATAAATATCAAGATGAAACTGAGCTTTTGTATGAATATGCTATGAAACAAATCAAGGGAATTTTATTTTCAAAAATCTTGTTTGCTCAATTTTCTATTTTAACAGTCAGTATTTCTTTTTAATAGTGACTAATTTTTTTAGACCCTGGAACATAACAATCTTTTTTCTTCCATTCTGATCGAATCATGCTATTACTTAAGTTTTTTATTTAATTTTGTCATTTTTATTATTGTGAGTTAAAAAAAACCTTTTATGTTAAAATGTTTTTATATTTATGGTAATGGCTTAATCTGTTTTAACAAGTGTTTCTTATTGTATAGTTTCTCCGCAGTTCTTATAGCATTGATGAACACAAGATAATTTGGCTCACAAAAAGATCAGGGACCCTTTAAAAAAAATCACCTTTTAATCATCATTTTAATGAAATAAAAAATACTTATTAAGAAAGGTTGCTGTATTTTTCTGAGTTAGTATTTATGGTGTTTTTTGCTAATCAAAATAAAGTTTCAAGAAGTTTTAAATAATTATTTGCACTGTTCATGTTTGTATTACCCTTATTTCTCGGTAATTGTGTTTTAAAATTAGTGATGTATTAAAAATATTTATTTTAAAATTTATGTAATTTGACTTTCCTCATTCTCTATCTATATTATGATATATTTGTGTTACAAACATAGCAGTTCATTAATATGTAGTACTATTCTCTCTTCCAGAAGTATTTGACATATAGCGCTAGAGCAGGATATTCCATAGTATTTA